CGGAGTTTGCTCTAATCAAGGGTCATAACTTGCCGGCCTGTCACACTGTTCAAGAGAGAACTCGACAAACACCTCCAAAGAATACCTGATCAACCAGGCTGTGATTCAGACGTCAGCCGCGTCCAACAGCCTATTTGACCAGCCAAGAGGCCTAGTCGGAGACAGGGCCGCGGTGTCTTTGATCCCTGAAACCCTCCACAAAGTAGACACGAGGTAGGTAAGGTAGTCAGATGTGAGTTGATATGACTCGTCGACCAACGCAATAATCCGTAACATGAAGGTAGTCCACTGTATTTATTTCAATATAACTAGAGTTCACTAAGAACTGTTACTACGACTTATTGGATTTAAGGTGTTGATGTGAGTATCGTTGTTGTTGTTATAGATTCAGCTACTCGGAACAAGTTCCAAGTAGCACGGGCTATGGTGAGCCCGTAACTTACCTGGCACAGGAGCGGGGCAAGTAGCACGGGCTATGGTGAGCCCGTAGTGGACGGGAGATGTCTCCCGTGGTGAGTAACGGAAGAATCATTTCAAGTGTGTTTAATAATCCCATAATATCACAGCCATCTGTGTACTGAAGCAACGGGAAGAGTGACCAGTGAACACAACAGAGTGAGAGAAGTGGTCCTGTATAGTTTTCAGTGTAATTTTGCTCTTAACTGCTGTGAGGTGTAGAAACTAGGCCGTCATGTACTGAGTGAGCTGCCTGTGTGTATACACCTGCCAGTGACAGGTGTACAGCGTACACCTGTCAGTCACCACATGTGTTGTCAACCACACTCAGTCAATTGTGTGTGTGACTGCCACCTGCGTCGTGTAATTCTTGCATAAATAACATATGCAATCGTTGTGAGAGCTTCCAGCACCACACCCAAGGGATTTCAACATGCAGTAGTGTTGAGAGAGAACTGCTATTACTATTGTGTTTGAGGCTACTGCCGAGTTATGAATGAGTCCAGCTCATCTTCCGAGCTGTTTGATTGGCTATTGGTGTGTAGGACCAGCCTATTGCAAGTACAATCTCTACATTATTTGTTGAATTGTGTTTCTGAACACCGATCAAAGTGATCAGCCATAACTTCTCACCGTCACAACACCTGCAACAGGTGATAGGTTTGAGATACTGGAGGGTGAACCCGTGTTTTATCATGGTAAGGTTTTTAATAAACAATTGTATAGTTTTATGTGCTTACGGTAAACCACGCTAAATACTGTTATTTCTACTTATGCTCAAACAGTGTAATAGCTCTGGTGTCATTAACGGTCTTTTAAAGGCTTTATCAAAATAAATTATGTAAAGAGTAACTTCTTTATTTCCAAGAGAAGTTCTTCTCTATATTTCCAAGAGAAGTTCTCAGTTGGTATGAATCAAAAGTACAGTTATCTGTTCTGGGCTGCTAAACACGCTCAAATGATATGGCGAAAGTGATGATAATCAAAGTCTGAAACTAACATTTGGTTAATTGTTCTTGTGTATAAATCACTAATGTATATATATCCCCTCGTAGTGATGGAAATCGAATACCGTTTTTAAAACCATATAAACCCAAAATTTACCTATATATATATATATATATATATATATATATATATATATATATATATATATATATATATATATATATAGATAGATATATATAGATATATATATATATATATATATATATATATATATATATATATATATATATATATATATATATATATATATATATATATATATATATATATGGGAGTGAATCCCCTGGAAGTCGTATAAAGGCACGCCCTAGATCTTATTTTTCACAATCAGTGATGAACTTATAAGAACCACAAATCATTTAACATACTTATTACTCACAAGTTTAAACAAACAAACACAATATTGCAATAAGAAGAATTTTGACGATTTAATTTCAATAATGTAGTCACATACCACTAAGAAAAACAAGAAAAATAGGAAATTAGAATTAGAACGGCGCTTTCTGTGGAGGTGAAGAAAATAAATGGCAGAAGGGCACAAACGCTTCCACTCTCTTCCTCATGAACGTCAAGAAAGGCTGTCTAGAGAAGTAGAAGTTAGTGAGGTAAAGATTACTACAATCTTGCAAAATCTTGGAGAGACGGAAGTGGGTCAGTGAAATAGAGAGGCAGCCAAAACGTTTCTGGTATGACAAGAGGAGAGGACAGATCACATACAGTGAGAGGCCCTTGAGGACTGGAACCGACGTCGCAGATTAGAAAATACTCAAGAATTCTTCAGGAATATGACTCTGACTTCGACTGGACTTCGAAGTGCCGATGGATACCACGAAGAGGAGGAGGGATAAGAATAATAATAATAATAAGAGAAGTAAACGAGGAAGGGAAGCCAGAAGCCAACTTTCCCCTGGAAGGTGTTGGGGGCTCTTGGAGGTCACCCCCAACCCCCAACCCCCCAACCCCCCAACCCCCCAACCCCCCAACCCCCCCTCGCACCCTCACCAGCAGGAAAACGTATTTTTAGAGCGTTGTAAACGCAAGCTCTCAGATGTTGTTGACCCGAGGGTGAGGAGGGGGGGGGGGGGTTGTTTTGTGTGTTGTAGTAATTGCCCCCCCTCCCCTCCCCCCCCCCGCTCCCCTCCCCCCCTACCCCCCTTCCCCCTCCCCCCCCCCCCCCTTGGAGTGCTGGAGAGGGGGTGTCACCCCCCTACCCACTAGGCTCACCCCTCACCCCTTATTTCCAGCTCTCCAAACCCCACCATTCTTAGGAAACAATACCCTATCCACCGATGTCCGGTCCTTCTTGACCCTGTGTGACCTCGGGTACTGTCCCTAAGTGACCCCTGGGAATACTCAGGAGTACCCTGGAACTCACTACTGGGGGACTCACCGGGGGAGATGGAGGGTTAGGTAGGTGAACGGAGTCACCAGGTGAACCCCCTGTTGTAACACGGGTTGGGTTTCTCTCTCTTATCTACCTTCTACTCCCCCTCTACCCGTATTCTTACTTTTTATTCTCTACCAAGGGACTCCAAAACTTTTACCAAAACCAACTCCACGCCACGTGGTCCTAAGACAATTGACCGACTTAGGATTCTACAACCAGTATAGCGTGACCTAGGCTTTGAGCAAAACCCTAGAGTCGCCTCTACGCTGCCACCACCAGACCAGTAACACAAGAGCAATGATCGAGGTCTGGATCGATCACGCTAATTAATCAACCTAGGGGCTTGATCCCCACTATAAACGATGACCTTGAGTGTGGAATAAATTACACGGTAATGATAATTCCGATTCGATGTTAGAATCGGCGCCCAATACAACTCTGCCTCGTGTGGACCACGTGACCAGGACAAGTATACACATAACGAAATGGAAACAATAAAAATGCAAATTATTAACTTAATTTATTAAAAGAAAACTAAAATAAAATCTAAATATGTTCACTCCCTGTCACTTTAACACTCCCTACTTGACCTGAATGGCAATGAGACTATTCTATAAATAACCATAGCAACTATACCTCTATGTTTTACCAGCTAAAGATGTTGGGCTGGTCTCGGGGAGAGGTAAGATGTTTGACCTCTCCCAGCTGCTCTCGTGACCACACTGATCTCTTCCTCGTCTGGTCTAGCCCAGACTAGAACATTGTATCCTTCCGCCTAGTCAAAGTTCTACCAAGTTACTAGCAAGGTTTAAGTTATAACAATTAACCTCTGTTGTACTTAATTGATCCAGACTGGTTGAATTATTTTACTGAAATTAAATTACACAAGCCTCTAACGGCAGAGCTGTTCCCGATCACAAAAATGGTTATTAAAACTTTGAGAAATAGTAGACCTGTCAACCCTGATGACCTATGACCGCCGGTCACTCCGCCTTACAAGTTAGATCTGATTCGTGACGTCACTGATGGTGACTTAAACTCAATAATTAGAATACTCTTGATATTGTACCAAGTACTATTATACAATACAATTTTAATACAAAATGAATAAAGGCTAATTTCTCTAAATTACTGAATACTATAGGATGGTTCATTATACAAAACTATGAACAAAGCGTCGGTTATTTCCACCGCGAATCCCCCTGGGGGTCAGGTTCCCAGGTCACCATGCGGGCTCAGCTTCCCATTCTCTTTTGTCGATAAACCACTCTGGATAATTCTTACAACAGCCTAGTTTGTTACAACCCCCCCGCACAAGCACTTAGTAAACCTTGTTAATTTGTTAAAAATCACGAGGTTTAGTATCCAAACCCACAATTCAACTCATGCCACAAACAAAAGCTAACCTAACTAATAAAATTTGACAAATATTTGAGTGTCCAACATCAACATGTTTAAATTCATAAATTTCTCAGCTGTCAACTGACAGCAATCCTCCAATATTAGGAAACATACATCCTATCCTTACTGACATAGCGAAATAACATGTCCCTACTCTACCATCAAAGACTAGCTATTAAACTCTCTTGGCTCTTCACTAGCCAAGTCCATGTGTCCTCTAGAGCCGGCCACACCGTGCTCAAACATAAACATTAAAGTTATAACTTCAGACTCTGCTCTACAAAACTCTGCTCTACAAGACCCAGCTCTATGAGGCCCTGCTCTACGAGGCTCTGTTTGCTACTTCTCACAACTATATCACTTTAACTTTTTGTCTTTCACTATCACTCTGTTTCCTGTCTGTTAGTTACTCCATCTTATCTGTGTGTGTGTGTGTGTGTGTACTCACCTAGTTGTGTTTGCGGGGGTTGAGCTCTGGCTCTTTGGTCCCGCCTCCTGTGTGTGTGTGTGTGTGTGTGTGTGTGTGTGTGTGTGTGTGTGTGTGTGTGTGTGTGTGACAATGATGACGGTAGTTGTAACAAGCGGTGATGGTAGTAACAATGTTATTTACAATGATGATGCTGTAGTTGACAATGCTGTTATTAATCCATGGTGGTGGTGGTGGTGGTGGTAGTGGTGGTGGTGGTGGTGGTGGTAGTGGTAGTGTGGGTACTAACACCATCTTCTCTCTCTCCTTCTCGCCCTACAGGTCATCCCAGGGACGCCCAATCGTCCTCGCGCACATAGGCTGGTATGATGACATTCGTTTATCTATATATGCATCATATTTATCCCCCCCCCTCAAAGAGCTTCCTGATTGACGGGAAAGTGTGCAATTGCATGACCTTGTAAGCCCCCCCCCCCTACCTCTCCATCTTAACAGTGTGGAGAAGAAATGCAGAACATCTTCCCGTATGATACCTAGCAGTAAATAGGTACCTGGGAGTTAGTCAGCTGTCACGGGCTGCTTCCTGGGGGTGGAGGCCTGGTCGAGGACCGGGCCGCGGGGACACTAAAGCCCCGAAATCATCTCAAGATAACCTCAAGATGATGTTCTCCACACACTAAGATGTTCAGACATCTTGGGAACTCCTCTCAAGAACTTGCATGGTGTATGGCTTTCTCTTGCCTCTAGTGAACACTAAACAATGCCTGAGACGCTGTGCCTACAAGTTAGGCCTATCTTGAGGTTATCTTGAGATGATTTCGGGGCTTTAGTGTCCCCGCGGCCCGGTCCTCGACCAGGCCTCCACCCCCAGGAAGCAGCCCGTGACAGCTGACTAACTCCCAGGTACCTATTTACTGCTAGGTAACAGGGGCATTCAGGGTGAAAGAAACTTTGCCCATTTGTTTCTGCCTCGTGCGGGAATCGAACCCGCGCCACAGAATTACGAGTCCTGCGCGCTATCCACCAGGCTACGAGGCCCCCTAGTACTAGCTGTATCTAGCAATCTAACATTATGTTTGTAACTTATTTTTTTAATGTGTGTCTAATTTTTTTAACCAGAATAAACATTATTGCATGATTAGTTGGTTGTTAAACTGCATGAGCATTGGACAGGATTTAAACAATGCACTTACGGAACCTGTACATCTTTCAACACTCTAATGATGGGGGGGGGGGGTTTGTTTACATATATAGTGAACGAGCTTCGACACTTCACAACACGAGGTTATTGTTGTTGTTGTAAACAGCCTCGTAGTGCTTCGGTGCTCATAAGCTGTTTAGCAAATGTAAACAGTAGCTGTCTTGATTGAGGAAGGATGTACAGGTTTCGTAAATGGTTGCTTAATAAGTGCTTGATGAAATCATGGGCAGCAATCTGTTGCCGCATATTGACTGCATGCAATTTTTTTTTTTTTGCTTGTTGAATGCTATATCGACCAGGCTCCCGCCCTCCCACGACCAGTCTCTCCTACCACGACCAGACTCTCCTCCCACGACCAGACTCTCCTCCCACGACCAGATTCCCCTCCCACGACCAGATTCCCCTCCCACGACCAGACTCTCCTCCCACGACCAGTCTCTACTACCACGACCAGACTCTCCTCCCACGACCAGACTCCCCTCCCACGACCAGATTCCCCTCCCACGACCAGATTCCCCTCCCACGACCAGACTCTCCTCCCACGACCAGACTCACCTCCCACGACCAGACTCCCCTCCCAGCGACACATTTGCGCTACTTTCCATGTTTGTGTGAGTGAGAGATGAGTGTCGGGGTGTGTATGTGTGAGGTGAAGACGGTGCCATCACCAGGAGATGAGTCGTACGGTGAGTACAGTATTGTGTTGCTACTGTGTTCGCCCAAGTGTCGTGGTGATGGGTTGTGTTGATGTTGTGGTGTGTTAGTGTTGTGTTGTTGATGTTGTGGTGTGTTAGTGTTGTGTGTTGATGTTGTGGTGTGTTAGTGTTGTGTGTTGATGTTGTGGTGTGTTAGTGTTGTGTGTTGATGTTGTGGTGTGTTAGTGTTGTGTGTTGATGTTGTGGTGTGTTAGTGTTGTGTTGTTGATGTTGTGGTGTGTTGCGTGGCCGAGTGCTATATCGCTGGCATCAACTTGGCATCAAATAACCAAACTTCTGTGCATGATTTGACACCTGAGAGAGAGAGAGAGAGAGAGAGAGAGAGAGTCTCCCCCACCAACATATAAACTGACATATTACTCATGGAACTACATAATTACTCATGGAACTACATAATTACTCATGGAACTACATAATTACTCATGGAACTACATAATTACTCATGGAACTACATAATTACTCATGGAACTACATAATCACGATAACACGCTGCTGAACAGGCTTCGTGACCTTCTCCATATATAAAGCAAGACGGGGCTCAAGACCAAAGAGGTCACGAAGCGAGTAAAAGGAGGTGTTGAGTCACCATTGAGCGCCAGACGGCGGTAGAGGCCACCTTGAATCCCGTATATACCTCCGGGGCAACCAGACGACGAATATTTGCGGGGCTATTCATGCCCGTGCCACCTCCAGGTGGGCTTAATCTTAATCAATCAATCAACGAGGCCCGGTGAGGTTCCCCGAGGTGAGGATCCCCGCCTCTTGTAGTGCTCACCTGTTTGGCACTTTAGCAGGGACCAGTAGAAGGACAGGTGATGGATTGAGCACCGTGAGAGCTCCATAGAGCACCATGAACGCTCCATAGAGCACGGTTCCCAGGGTAAACACTTACCAATCCAAGTCGTACCAACCGGTTCTGGTGGCACTGAACCCTCTAGTGGAACCTGAGTCACGTGACACCTGCTCCTGTGTACATCTCCCTCCTCTATACCCGCTACCCGCGTGGGAGGCCATTCCCGTTACCCGCGCGGGCGGCCATACCCGCTTCCCGCGCGGGCGGCCATTCCCGTTGCCCACAATCTACTGACCGTTACCTAACTGTCCAACAGTGCTTATCTAATCGTGACCTCGCGTCAAGGGAAGACAGAAGGGTTAGGGGAGACATGATTATGCAACACCTGCAACCTGCAACCTGCAACACCTGCACCACCTGCAACACCTGCAACACCTGCAACACCTGCAACTCCTGCAACACCTGCAACACCTGCACCACCTGCAACACCTGCACCACCTGCAACTCCTGCAACACCTGCAACTCCTGCAACACCTGCAACACCCGCAACACCTGCAACACCTGCAACACCTGCAACACCTGCAACACCTGCAACACCTGCAACACAACACCTGCAACACCTGCAACACCTGCAACACCTGCAACACCTCCGACACCTGCAACACCCGCAACACCTGCAACACCCGCAACACCTGCAACACCCGCAACACCTGCAACACCTGCAACTCCTGCAACACCTACAACACCCGCAACAACACCCGCAACACCTGCAACACCCGCAACACCTGCAACACCTGCACCACCTGCAACTCCTGCAACTCCTGCAACACCTGCAACTCCTGCAACACCTGCAACTCCTGCAACACCTGCAACTCCTGCAACACCTGCAACACCCGCAACACCTGCAACACCCGCAACACCTGCAACACCTGCAACTCCTGCAACACCTACAACACCCGCAACACCTGCAACAACACCCGCAACACCTGCAACAAACACCCGCAACACCTGCAACACCTGCAACACCCGCAACACCCGCAACACCTGCAACACCTGCAACACCTGCAACACCTGCAACACCTACAACACCCGCAACACCTGCAACACCCGCAACACCCGCAACACCTGCAACACCCGCAACACCTGCAACTGCCTGCAACACGACACCTGCAACACCTGCAACACCCCGCAACACCTGCAACACCTGCAACACCCGCAACACCTGCAACACCTGCAACACCTCCGACACCTGCAACACCTGCAACACCTCCGACACCTGCAACACCTGAAACACCTCCGACACCTGCAACACCTCCGACACCTGCAACACCTGCAACACCTCCGACACCTGCAACACCTGAAACACCTCCGACACCTGCAACACCTGAAACTCACAAAACACAAAAGATTTAATATTACCGGACTGCAAACATGCTTTTGTGAAACACTTTCCGAGCGAAGCCGGATACAGGAAATACAGCTACAAGCCGGATGAGGTGGTTGGTAGTGTGTGTGGGGGTGGGGGGGGGGGGGGGAGGGGGACTTACAGTTACATCAGCAGATAATGAAGTACCTAAAAGATACAAGTTTTTTTTTACGGGATCACTATAGCCCGTGCTACACAGACACTTCGTTCTGAGTAGCTAAATCTAAACCAACAACAAACGGTAGAAGGCGACGAGCCACGGGTAAGAGCAGAGAGGAAGACGGACGAGCAAGCCAGAGAAAAGCTCGCATAGAAGACTTCTCACTGCGTTCCAAAGGTGGAAATCACGAAGCTATGTAAGGTGACCCCAAGATAAAAATGCGCGGGAGATAAACCTTAACGCCCCCCGAGGAAAAGAAAACAAAAGAGAACGACAACGAGAGAAAGAGAGCGAGTGAACAGGAGAATAAGAAAGTAGTGAATATATAAAGTATTAATTGATTCAAGCGATTTACCGACATCTGGGAAAATATGTGAATCTCTGCTCGCTGAACCAACTAGGACCTCCCCCTCGTACGCCCTAGAAGAGCAATAGAACGAGGCTGTTAAGCGCACCACAGACGGTGGTTAGTTGCTTGCGTGATGAGCGGGGGTGTGTGGGGGGGGGGGGCAGGGAAGGTCATGGGTGATGATTCTAAATTGTCATTATTATGTGAAACTTGGAATGATGAGTATTTTTTGTACATGTTCACCTCACTGTTTCTTGGGTGGCTCTATTTGTAATTCAAATTAACTCTTTGTAACTCTCTCTGTCTCTCTGTCTTTGTCTGTCTCTGTCTCTGTCTCTCTGTCTCTGTCTCTGTCTCTGTCTCTGTCTCTGTCTCTTTCTCTGTCTCTCTGTCTCTCTGTCTCTCTGTCTCTCTGTCTCTCTCTCTCTCTCTCTCTCTCTCTCTCTCTCTCTCTCTCTCTCTCTCTCTCTCTCTCTCTCTCTCTCTCTCTCTCTCTCTCTCTCTCTCTCTCTCTCTTCTCTCTCTCTGTTCTCTCTCTGTCTCTCTCTGTCTCTCTCTCTCTCTCTCTCTCTCTCTCTCTCTCTCTCTCTCTCTCTCTCTCTCTCTCTCTCTCTCTCTCTCTCTCTCTCTTCTCTCTCTCTCTCTCTCTCTCTCTCTCTCTCTCCCCTCTCCCCTCTCCCTCCCTCCCTGCACCTTCCCATCCCCCGGACGTGTAGCT